ACCATTCATATTTAAAACAATTTTCCAAGGTCATGGATCACATTATAACAAAACTAATTATTGTGATTAAATTGAAACATGGTTCCTAGTTTAGAAACTAAATTAATAATTTGTTACTATATGATTAAAAAAATATAAATCACAATTATTTTTTTCATCAAATTAGTTTATTTCCCAACAAAAACTTATTTGTTTGTCTTCATCTTCACAATACTGTTTTTTATGGTATATATATTAACAAGGTACTAAAATGAGAGTACCACCAGTTTACAAAATATTTACAAACATATTTAGTGTTATAATGAATTAACTTCACAATTCTTAACAACTACACCTAATCGTGAGATAATATCGTAAATAGGATCATTCAAAAATAAAATTACTAAATTATCTTCACTGTTAAACTACATTTATTCTTTTTTCACTTTCCATTCTACTTACTAATGTGAAATACTATTCTGAAGGAACAATTTTTTGAAGACACTTAAAGTAAAATAACTTTAAAAGCTTAACTTCTCTTATTGAATTCTCTCTAATTTTGTATTATTGTTTCTAAAAAATTTCTTCTATATTCTCTTTGACTTTGCCTTAATTTTTTTTTGAAATTATTTTATATACTTCTTATAATTACAGTGCATGATAACACATACTAACGGATCAAAAACTACAAATTATTACTAGCAGAAATCATTTTATACTTTGCTTACTCCCCCCGACTCATATTTTTGAAACATACCAGTTTTCTATCATTATCATACAAACAAATTCTATCATTATCATATTGAACGATTTCTCCTTATAATTTTACCATTATCATGTCGAGCATCCCTATCATTCCTCCTAATAAGTTTTCATCAGAATCAGAAAAATCTAAATAGATCATATCAAAATACAAAATACAGGGACAATAATAAAATCAGCAGTGCTCAAATAGTGATGGATTCTTCATTTAAATTAAAGATTTCAAAAAATAAAATCACTTTCCAAATAGCAATAGATTCTTCATTTAAGTTCAAAGATTTTATAAGTTGTTTTAATTCTCTATGAAATGGAAAACAACAAATCCCCACACATAAAGTTTCTTCTCTAAATATGATAATGTAGCACCTACAAAATGTGATTACCAAAGTAAAACCCTTGCTTCTAGGTGTGAGACCAAAACAAACTAGCAAAACATGCTTCACTTCTTCTTCTCTCCACCTCCTGCAGCCCTGAGAGGAACATCACCATAAGAGAATGGTCATAGAAAAAATTAATACAACTGCATTTCTTCCCTCACTGTCCATCAAAGACAGTGAGAAACGCACAGGCCTGTCAATAACAGATGACATATTGGTATATATTATCCTGGAAATTACCTGCTCTTGCGGAGCACATTGGACATCTCCTCACGCTTCTTCTTTGCCCTCTTGTGAGTGCCAAGCTTTCTTTTGGCTACTTTCAATGCTCGCTTGTCCTTACCAACTTTCAGTAGCTCAGTGATTCTCTTCTCATATGGTGCAAAACCAGCAACTTCACGGATCAAACTCCTCACAAAGTGAACCCTTTTGCTGGTTTTCTGTGAATTATGATGAGAGGGCAACAGATGGAAAACAGGAGAGAGATCACATACATATCAGCAGTTAATCAGAAGCAAGCTAAGAACTTCAATATTCATAACTGCAACAAAGAAATTTCAACTGAGCCTGCTAAAAAAATCAACTGCAAAATATATAGCACAGCAAAATACAGCTACAAGAAACCAAACTCAAAAACATAAGTAGGTTATGGAAATTCTGCGGGCATAGAAAAAACTTACTCCTTTTCTAAGAGAGGGTCGAGGAGCCAATTCCTTCTTGGTTACAATGTGGCCTTTGTTTAATCCCACAAAGAGCCCGGTATTTGGCTGTTTTGAAGCCATTATCTGCTTCAATCAGACGAAATAAGTATAAGATGATTTGCAAAAGAAGCTTAAAACTGAAACCAACTACAATAAATAGAAAGTAATTTCAAAGTTCGTATATTGATAAACTGACAAAGTTTGGTAGTGTATAACTTTATTTTAGTCTACATAAAGCACACGATTTAATGCTAAAACAATAAAATGGATGGCTAATTAAAAAGGAACTCCACTATCAGGCAGTTAGAGACCAATCACCTAGAATGCCACCAATTAATGATTAATCCACCTTAAATATCAAACCAATATGCTAATTTTTTTTGAGATAAAAAAGTATAAGCAATATATTAATGCAATAGCACCAAGGGGATACAATCTATGTACAAAAGATATTTACAACTCATCAGCTTGTCAATGGCATATATAAATGCCATTCACTATCACTCTTTTACAAAAGATATGCACAAAAAGATACGTACAAAAAGGTCTCAGCCGCTCTTTTACATAATTAACAAGCATTCACTATCACTCTTCCCCTACTCATCAGCTTGTCAATGGTCAAAGCAATATGCTAATGTTTTGCAAATAAATATCAAGAAGTAGATAAATGAAAATTTGATTCAGGGGAAAAAAACTTCTCTTTTCTTCCTCTTAAATCCCCTCTCTAATTATCCTAAAAAAAATTTCTCTAAAACAGCATAACTGTTAGAAAAATCTAATGTACCAACCCGCATTTTACACCACATTATGTCAATGTATTCATTCATCTACTAGTGTCAACGGATACATCCCAATATTAACAAGAGTTTTCCCACTGTAACAGGTACTAATTACATTACAGGTATATTAACACAATATAGACCTACTATTTTACTCATCAACAATTCCTACAAAAAGTGCTCATAACTACTATGCCTCTCAACTCAACTACAAACAGTTTTCATCCAATACAGCAAGTAAACTCATCTGATTAAGCTGACACTTCGGCAAAACAGAAAAATAAATCTATCCAGTGAATCCTCCACCAGTTCCACATGTAAATTCTGCATGCATTTCGGCTCATGGTCAGACTCCGGGAGCTCATGAATTAGTTCCTGCTTAATTATTTCTGAAATATGGTAAAGGGTTGAGCTATACAGCCCAGTAAAATCAAT